GGAACTATGTGTAGAGCTTTGGGCAACATGAACAGTCCGAACACTGCCCTCAGCCGTTGAAACGCACAATAGTTAATTTCTTTGTAAATCTTGGATTCGAACGGAGGACAATCAGATATATACTATTGCACGGCCAAAAGGAGCGAAACTGGGTGAGTGAGTGAGGGCCGTTTTGGTCCAAAGTCAATAATATCCGAACTATATCAGAGCTACATATATAATATTTAGTCACTGACTCACTAACGTGTGTGGACCAGACTCGATTATTTAAAGACCGCCGTCATATAGCTGTGTTATTGCTGAGTGCGGCGTCAAACAAACACTCGAGTCTGTCTGGTCCAGACTCGTTTATTTACAGACCGCCGTCATATAGCTGGAATACTGCTGAGTGCGGCGTTAAACAACAAACAAACAAACAAACGTACACTCACGAATGAGACCTTAGGTCCCCGAATATGCGATATTGTATATATAATGTTCCTTAACTTAAGCAAATTCTGTCTAGGGTGTGTCCGAAACATGGTTTTCTTAGATTTGGAATTCTAATTGACAATCAATCTCACACACATGGTACAGATTTCTTGGGCGATTTGATAAGACTCACGTATGCATGAAATAAAGAGCTGTTTAAAACAAAAGAAAGCTAATATTTAATGTAGCATAGCAACACATAAAAAAACGCGCGCACAGACACGGCGGCTGTCTGCAGGAGAGAGTCAGGTGTTGGCGTCGAGGTAATGATGCTCTATACGAGAAGGGCGTGCCTGACGCTGCCACAGCCAAATATCATAATGATGTTGTGTAATGCGGGGAAACAGAACAGGGTGTACAACGGTGACGTCACCCCTGGGAATTCCTCGCTAGAGCTGGGACACCATAGCGCTAAGGAGATCGTTACGACATACTTAGACAATCGTAGCGCTAAGTCGCTTTGTGGAACAAGCCCAGGGTCCACAAAGCGATCTTAGCGCGAAGGCGATCGTAACCGACATACTTTAACACATTTACGACAATCGTAGTCCCGTTCAACCAATCTCAGCGCTACGACTATCGTTAGTACATGTTAAAGTATAAGTGACGATAATCTCAGCGCTACGACCGCTTTGTGGGATAGTGCCCTGATCCTACGGGCTCATTCAATAGATTTATGATTATTGTATATGATCCAGGGTATTATATCCCTTTTCTGTTATGATAAATATCCTTGGGCCCGTTCCACAAAGCGATCTTAGCGCTAAGATGATCGTAACTCCCATACTTTAACACAGACTTACGACAATCCTAGCACTAAGATCGCTTTGTGGAACAGGCCCCTTGTCATAGCTCTGTCCGGTTAAGGGGGCACGATTCGCTGTGCAGAGTTGCGTCCCTTGGGCACGCCAGAAACTTATAATTGTGGGTTCGAATCCCGGTTTGCCCCGGTTATGTTTCTAGGTTTGTCAGCACCATACCCGTGCTCGTGGGTTTCACGAGACCTGCATCACTTCGGGCTTTCCTCCTACATTAAGCGGACACTCCGTGATATAACTGGAATGCTGTTAAAGCGGCGTTAAACCAAACTGACTCACTCACTGTCCGGTTAACGGAGGACACGATACTTAAAATTAGCCGCCCAATCACATCACGCTACCCTCTCCTGACTGAAACATGCAGCGATAACATGCCCAGAACACGACTGACCTTGTTCTGTCTCAAATATATCTGGGAAGATCTTGCAGCTTAATGACTTTATTCTTCCTGCCTTAATATTCACGACATCAATTCTAGCTAATGGCATTTAAACGGTCTTCCTTTTTGACTACATATATCGCGGGTTCGCGCGTAAGAGGCCGCCATTTTGAATGCGAGTTTGAGCAAAGCGCTTTCAGAAGTAGCATTTTGATCGGCTGTTCATTATAAACAGCCAATCAAAATGCTTCTTATGGGAGAAATGTTGTGCTAATGAAAAGAGGTGGGGATGGTGACGTCACTTCCTATACGAAGCTATGAGGGGGAATGGGTGCAGGGTATATAAAATAGTGGGATAGAGCAGTAATATGTGGAATCATCAAGGAGTGAGTGAGTTAGTATAGTTTTACGCCGCTTTTAGCAATATTCCAGCAATATCACGGCGGGGGACACCAGAAATGGGCTTCACACATTGTACCCATATGAGGAATCGAACCCGGGTCTTCGGCGAGACAAGCGTACGCTTAAACCACTAGGCTACCCGACCGCGCCGGATCATCAAGGAGTATACTATACCTTTACAACACACTTATGATCAGTCTTGAGTGAGTGAGTGAGTGAGTGAGTGAGTATGGTTTTACGCCGCTTTTAGCAATATTCCAGCAATATCACGGCGGGGAACACCAGAAATGGGTTTCACACATTGTACCCATGTCGAGATTAGAACCCAGGTCTTCGACGTGACGAGCGAACGCTTTAACCACTAGGCTCCCCGACCGCCCGATCAGAGTCTTGAAGTTAATGTACGAGAGGACGTTACCCAGAGTTAGCAATATATTGGGTTATGTGCATTTAAGGCTACCAAAGGAAGGTCTGTGGTTCGAATCCGGGGAAATGTTTAGTCGCTCCATAAACAGCACGTACAAATACAAATGTATCCGTGTGCTTCGCGTGGATAATGACCTTTGAATTGTATATTCCCGAGGAAGCTGAGAGTGAAACTTGAATGCATTCTGACCCAGAGGCGCACATGCTTGCCGTTAGAGGCGACTAACTGGATCGGATGGTCAGGCTCGCTGACTTGGTTGATGCATGTCATCGTATCCCATGCGTGGATCGATGCTCATGATGTCAATCACTGGAACGTCTGGTCCCTTATGTACACATCGCCGTCATATGGCTGTAATATTGCTGAATGCGGCGTTAAACAACAACAAAAAAAAGAAAAAAAGAAAAAGAAAAAAAAAGCATACTGATCCATTGACCCGGATAACGTAATACGTTTATATAATTACAGTTGCAAAACCGTATTAAGGTACTCTCAACCTCTGCAGAAGTAACCTTACAAAACGGAAACAATATGGCTGCTCCCGAGGATATTCAGCTACCTTATTGTGTTCACTGTAATGTTGTAGAGGGCTGAGAGCTGACAATAATATGTATGTTACTGACTCTGTGCCGAAAGAACACACGTCTTTAACTTCCCCGCTAGACATCGCTGTTCCCAATGCACCAATTTCACTGTCACCTTTAAAAGTCCGAATACGACTTGTCGTAAATATCTGATTGCGATTGCCATAAAGCGTCTGAGTTCCTGATTAAAGTATGATGACGTAATTGCGCCGCAAGGCGGCGAGAGAGATCAAGACAAACACTACAGTGGAATAATTAATCAACGGACTGTAATGAACCTCGATCTGAAGTGTAAATAATTAATAGTAGATACTTGATTGCCTTAGTGCATAAAAATAAAACAAAAAACCCGACAACGTTTGAGCAGGGTCTTAATGGACGCACAGCATATTTCTGAACTGAAGGAGGACAAATACTTATACCCCATAATATTAAAGGGGATTGTACTGATCTTCTTCATTTGCTCTAATGCAGAAAACAGTTTCTTGTAAAAAAAACATATTCTTAACGGTTCCCACGGAAATAGGTCGAATTAACAATTTTCCGAATTAGCGAATCGTTGGTACAGAGATATCTCCGTCCCAAATGACGTCCCAGTCGTTATAGGGCTGAAACAATGCCGATGCAAAGTAGTATGTTATTCTTCCCAACAGTGATGGTGTGGAAGCCCAGTTTACAGACAGAAGAGTAAGTGGGTTTTAACGCCACGTTTCGGCTTTTCCAGATTCAAGCTATTATTGTTTGTTTGTTGTTTAACGACGCACTCAGCAATATTCCAGCTATATGACGGCGGTATATAAATAATCGAGTCTGGACGAGACAGTCCAGTGATTGATATCATGAGCTTCGATCCACGCAATTGGGATACGATGACATGCATAAACCAAATCTTAGTCGCCTCTTACGACATAGTCGACTTTTACTCCAGCTAATAAACTCCGGGGACAACAGAAATTGGCTTCACACTCTGTACCCGTGTGAGGAATCGAACCCGGGTCTTCGGCGTGCCGGGGGCACGAGTGGCCCAGTCGTCTAAGGCGCCGCGATTCGCTGTGCAGAGTTGCGTCCTTTGGGCACGCCAGAAACCTATGATTGTGGGTTCGAATCCCGGTTCGCCCCGATTATGTTTCTAGGTTTGTCAGCACCATACCCGTGCTCGTGGGTTTCACCGAAGTGGTAAACGTCTGAGACCTGCATGACTTCGGGCTTTCCTCCCACATTAAGCTGACACGCCGTGATATAACTGGAATAATGTTAAAAGCGGCGTTAAACCCAACTCACTCACTCACTCACTCTTCGGCGTGCCGAGCGAACGCTTTAACCAGTAGGCCATCACTTCCGACCCTGCGGACTGAGGAGGTTAAGAGTACAGGATCCCATTGCAGTGCCGAAGCCAGCCGGGGGGCAGGGGTGAGTTGCCCCCCTAGATTTTTCATAGAAACAGTTTTATTTGAATCAAGTTGGGGACAAGTGATACTTGTGATACTTGTACAAATATCTTACACTAACACTTAGTCTATGAAAACATTTCTTTAAAACAATTGTAACTTTTTTCAGCAGAATCAGTCTTCCTGTGTTGTTTTTAGGAGGCATGGGTGGCCCAGTCGTCTAAGGTGTCGCAATTAGTTGCTTAGAGTTATGTCCCCTGAGCACGCCAGAAACCTATGATTGTAGGTTCAAGTACCGGTTTGTAGGTTTGTCCGCACCATACACGACCTGCATCCCTTCATACTTTCCTCCAACATTAAGCTGACACGCAGTGATAAAACTGGAATATTGTTAAAAGCGGCGTTATACCCACTCCCTAACTTCAAAGACCCACTCCCTAATTTCAAAGACTTGGTTTAGTTTGTTCTAGACTTGCCTAGACTTTTTGTAAACGATAATTTTAAAAACATATTTACATAAATTCCACAGTCATGGCCGGGACTCGACCACTCAGCCCGTCTACACTTCCTGGTATTGGAGTGAGTGAGTGAGTGAGTATGGTTTTACGCCGCTTTTAGCAATATTCCAGCAATATCACGGCGGGGGACACCACAAATGGGCTTCACACATTGTACCCATGTCGGGAATCGAACCCGGGTCTTCGGCGTGACGAGCAAACGCTTTAACCACTAGGCTACCCGACCGCCCCCCTGGTATTGGAAGTAAACATCAGGAAAACGAAAACCGCATTATCTCCCCTGATCCGACTGTCTTTGTTTCTTGTTGTCATAGTGACAGTTTCATATGAAATGTAAAATGGCTGTTTTTTGTGTGTGTATTACTGACTGGGCGAAGGTATAGCCTGGTGACAAGACCCGTGCTCGATTTCCCTCATGGGTACAAAGTACAAAGTCCTTAAAACCGTACTCACTCACTCACTCAATCAATCAATAAATAAATGCCTCTGACCTGATTTAGTAATTAACTGAACTGATAAAGTGAGTGAGTTAATGTTGTTTTACGCCAGCTATATCACGGCGGCGTGTAAATAATAAAGTTGTACTGAGGCAGGTAAACCGGTGGTTGATATCATGATCCACGCCCAACGTCTATGCTCCCCACATCACCAAGCTCTACATCTATGCTCCCCACATCACCAAGCTCTACGTCTATGCTCCTCACATCACCAAGCTCTACATCTATGCTCCCCACATCACCAAGCTCTACATCTATGCTCCCCACATCGCCAAGCTCTATATCTATACTCCCCACATCACCAAGCTCTACGTCTATGCTCCTCACATCACCAAGCTCTACGTCTATGCTCCCCACATCACCAAGCTCTACATCTGAACTCCCCAAATCACCAAGCTCTACATCTATGCTCCCCACATCACCAAACTCTACATCTATGCTCCCCACATCACCAAGCTCTACATCTATGCTCCCCACATCACCAAACTCTACATCTATGCTCCCCACTTCACCAAGCTCTACATCTGTGATCCCCACATCACCAAGCTCTACATCTATGCTCCCCACATCACAAAGCTCTACGTCTCTGCTCCCCACATCACCAAGCTCTACATCTATGCTCCCCACATCACCACGCTCTACATCTATGCTCCCCACATCACCACGCTCTACATCTATGCTCCCCACATCACCAAGCTCTACATCTATGCTCCCCACATCACCAAGCTCTACATCTGTGATCCCCACATTACCACGCTCTACATCTATGCTCCCCACATCACAAAGCTCTACATCTATGCTTCCCACATCACCAAGCTCTACGTCTATGCTCCCCACATCACCAAGCTCTACATCTATGCTCCCCACATCACCAAGCTCTACATCTATGCTCCCCACATCACCAAGCTCTACATCTATGCTCCCCATATTACCAAGCTCTACATCAATGCTCCCCACATCACCAAGCTCTACATCTATGCTCCCCATATTACCAAGCTCTACGTCTATGCTCCCCACATCACCAAGCTCTACATCTATGCTCCCCACATCACCAAGCTCTACATCTATGCTCCCCACATCACCAAGCTCTACATCTATGCTCCCCACATCACCACGCTCTACATCTGTGCTCCCCACATCACCAAGCTTTACATCTATGCTCCCCACATCACCAAGCTCTACATCTATGCTCCCCACATCACCAAGCTCTACATCTGTGCTCCCCACATCACCAAGCTCTACATCTATGCTCCCCACATCACCAAGCTCTACATCTATGCTCCCCACATCACCAAGCTCTACATCTATGCTCCCCACATCACCAAGCTCTACATCTATGCTCCCCACATCACCAAGCTCTACGTCTATGCTCCCCACATCACCAAGCTCTACATCTGTGCTCCTCCCACATCACCAAGCTCTACATCTATGCTCCCCACATCACCAAACTCTACATCTATGCTCCTCCAAAATCACCAAGCTCTACATCTATGCTCCCCACATCACCAAACTCTACATCTATGCTCCCCACTTCACCAAGCTCTACATCTGTGCTCCCCACATCACCAAGCTCTACATCTATGCTCCCCACATCACAAAGCTCTACATCTATGCTCCCCACTTCACCAAGCTCTACATCTATGCTCCCCACATCACCAAGCTCTACGTCTATGCTCCCCACATCACCAAGCTCTACGTCTATGCTCCCCAAATCACCAAGCTCTACATCTATGCTCCCCACATCACCAAGCTCTACATCTATGCTCCCCACATCACCAAGCTCTACGTCTATGCTCCCCACATCACCAAGCTCTACATCTATGCTCCCCACATCACCAAGCTCTACATCTATGCTCCCCACATCACCAAGCTCTACATCTGTGCTCCCCACATCACCAAGCTCTACATCTATGCTCCCCACATCACCAAGCTCTACATCTGTGCTCCCCACATCACCAAGCTCTACGTCTATGCTCCCCACATCACCAAGCTCTACATCTGTGCTCCCCACATCACCAAGCTCTACGTCTATGCTCCCCACATCACCAAGCTCTACATCTCTGCTCCCCACATCACCAAGCTCTACATCTATGCTCCCCACATCACCAAGCTCTACATCTGTGCTCCCCACATCACCAAGCTCTACATCTATGCTCCCCACATCACCAAGCTCTACATCTATGCTCCCCACATCACCAAGCTCTACATCTATGCTCCCCACATCACCAAGCTCTACATCTATGCTCCCCACATCACCAAGCTCTACGTCTATGCTCCCCACATCACCAAGCTCTACATCTGTGCTCCTCCCACATCACCAAGCTCTACATCTATGCTCCCCAAATCACCAAACTCTACATCTATGCTCCTCCCACATCACCAAGCTCTACATCTATGCTCCCCACATCACCAAACTCTACATCTATGCTCCCCACTTCACAAAGCTCTACATCTGTGCTCCCCACATCACCAAGCTCTACATCTATGCTCCCCACATCACAAAGCTCTACATCTATGCTCCCCACTTCACCAAGCTCTACATCTATGCTCCCCACATCACCAAGCTCTACGTCTATGCTCCCCACATCACCAAGCTCTACGTCTATGCTCCCCAAATCACCAAGCTCTACATCTATGCTCCCCACATCACCAAGCTCTACATCTATGCTCCCCACATCACCAAGCTCTACGTCTATGCTCCCCACATCACCAAGCTCTACATCTATGCTCCCCACATCACCAAGCTCTACATCTATGCTCCCCACATCACAAAGCTCTACATCTGTGCTCCCCACATCACCAAGCTCTACATCTATGCTCCCCACATCACCAAGCTCTACATCTGTGCTCCCCACATCACCAAGCTCTACGTCTATGCTCCCCACATCACAAAGCTCTACATCTGTGCTCCCCACATCACCAAGCTCTACGTCTATGCTCCCCACATCACCAAGCTCTACATCTCTGCTCCCCACATCACCAAGCTCTACATCTATGCTCCCCACATCACCAAGCTCTACATCTATGCTCCCCACATCAGCAAGCTCTACGTCTATGCTCCCCACATCACCAAGCTCTACATCTATGCTCCCCACATCACCAAGCTCTACGTCTATGCTCCCCACATCACCAAGCTCTACATCTATGCTCCCCACATCACCAAGCTCTACATCTATGCTCCCCACATCACCAAGCTCTACGTCTATGCTCCCCACATCACCAAACTCTTCATCTATGCTCCCCACATCACCAAGCTCTACATCTATGCTCCCCACATCACCAAGCTCTACATCTATGCTCCCCACATCACCAAGCTCTACATCTATGCTCCCCACATCACCAAGCTCTACATCTGTGCTCCCCACATCACCAAGCTCTACGTCTATGCTCCCCACATCAGCAAGCTCTACATCTCTGCTCATCCCATATCAGTAACCTCTACATCCATGCTCCCCTACATCCCCGTTTTTGTATTGAATCTCACCCTGTCAACGTGGCCCCCGTTTTTGTATTGAAACTCACCCTGTCAACGTGGCCCCCGTTGTTTTTATTGGATCTCACCCTGTCAACTTGGCCCCCGTTTTTTTTTATTGAATCTCACCATGTCAACCTGGCCCCCTTTTTTTTATTGAATCTCACCCTGTCAACGTGGCCCCCGTTTTTGTATCGAATCTGCCCTGTCAACGTGGCCCCTGTTTTTGTATTGAATCTCACCTTGACAACTCGACTAGGAATGCGCGAGGAATGCAGATATATACAGTTGTAAGTGTATTTTTATGAACGGTCGCTTGCGTCTAATTTCCACGGACGTTGCAGGGAAACAATACACGTCTTTATTGTCCATGTCGATATGCGTCAAGATGACAGGTTCCTTGTTGAAGAATGTACACACCAAAGAGTCACCGTTGAAACGCTGACACGATAACGTACTGCGCATGTCACAAACAGTAGCACGTGCCATCGGTCACGGGGTATTGGTCAGCAATAAAGACTTGTCCGTTGCTCATCCATCACCACGTGGGGGTCTAGAATACGGAGGCAGTGTGTCGGCCCCAGGGAGGGGCGACATGCTCGTCAGCTCTGAGGATAAACCTGACGAAACATGACGGGACTGGCGGAACGGAAAATGGACAAGAAGATCAAAATATCTTGACAGAATATGGAAAAAAGTAGGTCTCGCTACCTACATGTTTGTGGGATCCTTCGCAGATACAGGTGACACAGCATGAGGTCGTTACTCCATGTTCTAGAGGTCACACGCACTTAAAATCACCGCGACCTCATATACGCTGAACGCCGACAACCGTCCACGCAAAGACGTATATAGTGTATATATATATATATATATATATACATATATACGTCTTTGGTCCCCGTAACTACCCTAGTCATTTTCTTGGGTGTAGGTGGGGTCTTGAAGTCCACCCACCCACAATCTCCCCATGTGGTGCCAAACAACTTAATTCTTTTCCACAACACATTATTTTTCAAAATGGTCGTTTCCTTAAACGAGTCA